GTGGAAATTAAAATCAGATTTTTAGTAAATTTTGATAAAAAATTTGGTGAAACGTGCAGTGAAAAAATTTTGAATCTCATGAAATTAATATGTAGTTATTTACTTTAACTTAAATTAAAATCTAGATTTAATTCCTACCAAATAGGGAATAAATATCTAATACATGGACCTAATTATGAAAATTTTCAATATCGATCTCGTATAGATGAATCATGCATTTTTGTTTTTTTTAAAAATGGAACTTGATCACAAAACCCTATCAAACTCAACTATTTCTAATGATTGAACTATCGGATGATTTAAAAACAATAGGCGAAATTATAAATAAGTGTTTCTCGAATGTTCGAGATCTTTGAATGTGTTAAATTGAATGATACAAATAATAATAAATTTAAAAACTTATCTAATATTGTATGCACCAATGAGTTGATGCACAAAATTCTTCTAAAGATAAAAACAAGTGACCAATCCAAACACAAAAATTGACCCAAGCAATAAATAAATATTAGTCGGCTCACATGAATGTGCGGTCCAATTTCATTAAACCCTTGTTTGGTTCTCATTTTTTTTTTATTAAAATGAAAAATATGACCGTTATTCATTATATTAAGCGACCAAATTTGAATTTTTATTTATTGTGCGGGATCCATAACGACTATATTTTTCATTCTCATTTTTAGAAAAAAAATGAGAAACAAACGGGGGCTAATTATTATTTGGAAGGTGGAAAGTGGGAAGGTTGACCTTAATCTAATTCAAGTTTATTATCATTGGTTGAATAAATTGCACAGTGGGATCCCAAACATTTGAAGGTTGTGATGATGATGTCCTAAATTTTTTATTTCTAGTACTTGAGATTCCAATCTTTGATAGAAATCATCAGTTTGACAGTTAAAAGGTCAAAATTTAAATAAAATGACCATATTGCCCTTAATTTATTTTAAAACAAATTAATGCCATCCATTCTCTCCATGCATTTTTCACTTGGTTTTTGAAGATAAACCTACAGGATTGACGTGTTACTCGAAAGAAAGTTTATTTGAGAGAGTAAGAGCGAATTATTTCAAAAATTAAAAAAATTTTAAAAAATCAGATAAATGTCAAAAAAATTAAAATAAATATTCTACTAAGTGTATAATTTTCCCTTTCTTCTGGTTACACGGAAGTATGTATGAAGCATTTTCATAATATTAGTCTAATATAGTCATCTTAATGTTTCGTTTTTGTAGAGCTATTTCTGCTGAATTTAGCCTTTATTTGTCAATCATTATATCACATTATTTTTCAATAATACTCATTTTCAATCACACATTCTTTAATAAAATAATATTACACATAAATAAAGAAAATTCATTTTTTTAACCACACATTTCAATATTAATTACTGTTCCATAATACACTTTTTGAAATTAAAGGGGCACAAACATGCCCTTAGTATTAACTCTTTTTATGTATAATTAGAAGAAATGATTGTGCTAGATCTACATAATAAATACACGTGATATAATTTTTTCAATAAAAAAATAAAATTTCACTCTCTTTTTGACAAAAACTATATGTAAATTATTATATAACTGCTTATCTACAAGTATTATTATTATTCTTATAACGAAATGATATCGATAACAATAAAAGTGAGCGAATTGTCATGGTTGAAAATGGCTTGAAAAGGACTTTTTGCACACAAAATCAATAGCTTGAGAGGATCAATGCCAAGAATAAACTGTTAGGGACTATTTGCGCACAAAGGCCATAAGTAGGACCAATTGTGCCAATTTTCCTATTCTTTTATTTTTGTTCTTTTTACTTTTTATTTTCTTCATTTGCTTCTTTTAAAACAAATTAAGGGTAAAATAGCTATTTTGATTAACATTTGACATTTTCACAATTGAACTGACATTTTTCGTCCACAAAAAATTCTCGAATGCAATTTGTAAGGTTTGATACCCTCGATGTTAGAAATCAAAGGTTCGAGATCCTATCATTACGATCTTTAAAGGTTGAAGACCCTAGTTGCAATTTATCCAAAAAAGAAAAAGAAAAACACCATTGGAAGGAAAAGTGGCTCAAGGAATTAGGTGAGCGTCAAACCAAACTTATCATCATCCTCTAATCTCTATATTCCAATCCACCAATTTCCAATTATTTTTATTTTGACCAGTTAAATAGTTGTTTCTTTTATTATAAATATCTCCTAGTGGGGGAATTGATAATGATAGGTATCTCTTCGTCCACCACAAATTTAATTTCCATTATTAAATAATTATTTGAAAAATATTAAATTTTAGTACGAGGCAGCACCAGCCCCAGAATTAGCTCGACTAGAATACAAAATAATTATCTTACCAAATCAATCATCATTAATTAATAGATTAGTGTCGATTACGTATTAGGGAACTAAACATTTATTACCATATTATAGTGTAAATATTTTTTATTAAACATGAAAAGTTTGTACGAGGGACTTTACGAGGTACTTGACATACTATTACTAAAGGGTTGTATTTGGTATACATAATTTTATGTACATATGAATGTGGCCCACATGGGCCTCACACCCATTTGAGTGTTAGCCCCTGTTTGGTGTATATTAAATTAATTTTTTGATAAATATTGATGAAATGTGGCCCAAATGAGCCTTACAATTAAAGCCTTCATTAGTCAAGCGGCTCGTAATTCAATTACGTGAAGATTCCAACGTAATTTTTGATACCGAACACTAATGCCTTCAATTATATGTGCTCAAGTAACGCGACATTTCATATGCATATTAACCACAAAACATAATATGTTAATTTCGCTAAAAGAAATTACTTAGAAGTATCTTGTGACCTCCGAATTTGGATGAGATTCAATTGTCAACATATCTTAATTCCTCTTCCTCTTTACTTCACGTATATATTTTGGGTAATTGGCACAAAACGTCCCTACCTTTCAAGTCTATTGTGGAAAATGTCCCTACCTTTCATTTTTTGGCATTTTTGCCCTCATTTCAACCTTTCTTTGCGCTGGACGTCCTTCCGTCCATATTCCGTCAGTTTTTCCGTTAAACATTCGGGTAATTGGCACAAAACGTCCCTACCTTTCAAGTCTATTGTGAAAAACGTCCATACCTTTTATTTTTTGACATTTTTGCCCTCATTTCAACCTTTTTTTGCGCTGGACGTCCTTCCGTCCATGTTCCGTCAGTTTTTCCGTTAATTAAATACAAAAATACCTTTTTCTTTCCATAAACAAGGGTAAAATTGTCCTCACCCACTTCATCCCTTTTTCCCGCCATCAACTTTGTTCATAAGTAACAGTAGCAGCAACATGAATCTGAAAATACTTTAAATGATTAAGTTAAATAAAGAAAAAATATTGTGAACACATTATATTTCACAATTCCACAATTACTGTTGCTGTCATCTTGTGTCACTGGAAAAATTTAGAAAGACATATTAAATGGGTAGTCAATTTATAATGAGTCAATTTAAAATGAGCCATTCATCTTCTCCATTGAGCCAAAAAGAGCCATTCACCATTTTGGCTCATTATAAATTGACTACTCATTTAATATGTCTTTCTAAAATTTTCCAGTGACACAAGATGACAGCAACAGTAGTTGTGAAATTGTGAAATATAATGTGTTCACGATATTTTTTCTTTATTTAACTTAATCATTTAAAGTATTTTCAGATTCATGTTGCTGCTACTGTTACTTATGGACTAAGTTGATGGCGAGAAAAGGGGGTGAAGTGGGTGAGGACAATTTTACCCTTGTTTATGGAAAGAAAAAGGTATTTTTGTATTTAATTAACGGAAAAACTGACGGAATATGGACGGAAGGACGTCCAGCGCAAAGAAAGGTTGAAATGAGGGCAAAAATGTCAAAAAATGAAAGGTAGGGACGTTTTCCACAATAGACTTGAAAGGTAGGGACGTTTTGTGCCAATTACCCTTTAATTAACGGAAAAACTGACGGAATATGGACGGAAGGACGTCCAGCGCAAAGAAAGGTTAAAATGAGGGCAAAAATGCCAAAAAATGAAAGGTAGGGACGTTTTCCACAATAGACTTGAAAGGTAAGGACGTTTTGTGCCAATTACCCTATATATTTTCAGCACACTACAGACACGTTAGAGACACAAGATCGAGACTTCTTCAAGAAAATAAGGAGGTTATGCATAATTTGATGCTCAGGTCAATAAACAAATATATATTTGGTATAGGAGAAGAACAAAAGGGGAAGAATGTGGGTGTCTAGTTTAGATGTCTAAATTGAAAATCATCAAATATATACTTTCAAAATGGCACAATGTGCGAATTTTATAGACAGGGAGAAGTTGTTAAAGTCTATGGATGCTTGACTCGTAACTCTATTCCAACGATTCATGTGTCAAACTCTAGGTATCATAGGCTTGTAACCTTTCACACTGTCATAGACTGATAAAAATGAATTTGACTATCAATCGTCTTTAGGAAAAGAGTTGTGCTGGCTATACAGTCCATGTCCCATACAGGCTACACATAAACAAGGAGGGGGTGAATTGCATGTGGTCCGTAACTTTTCGTGCAAGTAAGGAGTAACATATCTTGTTCAATATTAACTTAATTATTTATAAATACAGTTGTCAACTAAAAATATAAGAATGTCTAAGACATTCAAATCGACAAACTAACATCCGAATCATGCTACAAGTACATATATTATGAAAAAAAAAATCCAATCACATTTTGACATGTTAGCAACTGTACACATTCTGTTAAATTTTTCTCATGCTTAAAAGTCATGTTATTTGTACAAAATTGATTGACAAAGTTCATTTATAAAACAACATCTACACCAATCATTTTAAAAATACTTTTTAAATCATTTGAAATCAAGGGTCAAGATTTGCCAACACTTGTTTTGTCATGTTATTTTGTACAACTAAATTAATTGTTATTTTATATTTATACAATGGCGCAGGGCGCCCTTGTGCAGGTGCGTGCGTCTTTATATACATCACCTTGTTTGGCACCAATCAGTATGGACCTGACAAAGGCAAATATTCTGAAATCTCTAATTAGGCAAGAAGATCCAACAAACTAGCGTAGCTGGAGGTAATTCAGCTTAATGACGAAAATACACCCAAACACCAGTGGCGCCACCGCTTCACAGCCGTCAAAACCTTTAAGTAGCAGCGATGCCAACAGCTCGGTGGTCCTCACGGTCTGGAAGAAATCGCTTCTCTTTAACTGCGACGGTTTCACGGTGTTCGACTCCAAGGGAAACCTCGTCTTTCGCGTCGACAATTACATGGCTGCAGATAAAGGAGAAATTGTTCTCATGGACGCCTCCGGCAACTCTCTTTTCACCATCCGCCGCAAGGTATACCTATATACAGATCGCGTCTCGTTTTCATTTCCCTCAGACTTATTTCTGATGAATTTTGATTGCAAAAATGACAGAGATTGAGCTTGGGAGACAGCTGGTTGGTGTTCGAAGGAGAGAAAGGGGTAAACCCTAGGTACGTAGTAAGAAAACGGGTGAATTTGCTGCATGGTAAATCCCTAGCTCTAGTGACTCCAGGAAGCTGCAAAGAAACAATCTCATCGCAAAATAGAAGCAAAGTACTTTACAACATTGAAGGATCGTACACGAAGCGGTGCTGTGTAGTGCACGACGAAAAGCGGCGGCCAATGGCTGTGATAAAGCAGAAGGAAGCACCCGTCAGAGGAATTTCTTTTGGAATGGACGTTTTTCAACTCATTGTACATTCTGAATTTGATTTGGCAGTTGCCATGGCCTTAGTCATCCTCCTTGACCAGATGTTTGGATCCTCGTAGTTGACTAGTCTAATGTCACACAGGATAAAAGCCCTTTAGCTCAAGAATTAAGTCACTTGTACAGAATTAACATTTTGTCCACCGATGTTGAGTTAGCATGTATTTTGACACTTGATTTGAATTTCAAACAACCTGTAAAGAGAACTGTACATGTAGCATCTCTCATATCTCAATTAGCTTGTTTGCTTAAGTAAAAATGCAACAGTCGAATAGAAGATACTATGATCTGTAATTTGAAAGTGTAGAGAGCAATTTTAGCATAGTTTTGGCTTGTGCATAAATTGATTGTTTCACGGATGTCCATGGTTGCTTGTATTTGTAGTTATACATAAATTCCCTTGTCCACTTTTATTGTATTCATTTTTCATCGCCTTTTTTAATCCAATTCAAAACTTGTAGATATCCTCTAATGCTATATACTAAACATATCGTTGCTCAAGATCTTTCAGTTATCATAGATATCCCAAGAATGTGTAGAAACATCAGAGAATAATTAAAATCAAATACAGAGAACAGGGTACCACGAAAAAGTGATGGAAGAAGTAAAAAATAATAATAGCACAGAAGTGTCGAATGCTACAGAACAATACCACAAAAAGTAAGAAAGCTCTATGGGATCTGAACAATTAAATTTTCTCCTCAAGTTCTTGTTTCACAAATGACGACTAAGCCTTGAAGAAATAAACAAGAAAAAAATTGTCTACAAACGTCTACTGTCATGACTTCTCTCCATTTAGTATAAGTGAACTCTACCCTTACTTGATGCGTTTCCGAAATGCACCAGAAAGGTACGTCTAACTTCATAAAACGTTTTCCGATCCTAGCAAATTTGATGACTGCAAGAATCCTCCTACCCTCAGGCCTTGCCGAAAGTAAGAAAAAATAATTTTTCTTCTTTTATAGCCCACAAATTCAAAATATATGTCAAATTCATCGTGGCTAGTACTTGCAATGATTACCTCCGCTTGAACAAAGATTCTTTATGAGCGGCGCACATAAAAGAACATTTTCCCGCTTTGTCTATCCCATATGTTGCATCTATGAAGCATGGTCTACGGATTTACATTACAATCACTCAAGAACTGATTTTGCAGGTTCAGAAACTTCCTCCAAGAACTTTTGTATTTAGGAATGCCAAGCTCGAGCCATGGTTTCATATTCCCGTTAAAATGCAATACCGCTGCTGTCCTTAGGGCATCTTCGTTGTGACCATAATTAAGGCCCAGGCTCGATAACATCCAACTGTCATCAAGAGCATAAACTAGACCCCGAAAGGTGAGCATACTTGCACTTAGTGCAGTAGTTTCAGATAATCCTTCTTCTGTGCTCATCTGTTCTTCACATTGTAAAAGAAAGTAACGGTCAGAAAATGGGTAGGTACACGAGCAGGAACAGTCTGTAAAATCAAACTGCCTGATATATCAAATGTTAAATCAAAAAAATTATGTGCAAGTACAGGGACCATTCGACATATGACAGTAGAGCGAGTTTGAATTATTTTAAAATTCTCAATTCGTTTCTTGACAAGTTATGAACCATTCAAAGATTACAGGTTTGTCAACAAACCATACAGAATTGTAGGCTGTAGGCAGGTTTACAAGGATAAAGAATTAAAGGTCATTATTCACTACTGTGCTACAGGAACTATTAGTAAGAAAAAATTGAAAGCCAGAATCATGTTTAGTTTTGCGTTTCTTTACTTTCTTTTCTTCTTTGTTCTTTCTTCTCTCTCCTCCCTTTTCCTGTCTGTTTCTATTCATATCAATTGGTTTTGGCGCTTTCCATTCAAAAGCTATATATATTTTATGAAATCTTGCAGCCCCTGTGAAATTGTAATATAGGAAAGTTATGCATGATATATGCTGTAAGGATTCAAGCCGGGAAACTTTTAATTGGGACAATGAGAAACTTATAATGGGCAGTCCATTTAACTACTTGAGCACCTAGCAGTCTTTGTACAGCTGAGCAACTATCATTTCTTTTTTCTTTTATAAGCTATATGTCAAAAATTGAAAACACATAAAGAGTCACCTGAAAAAGAAACGTGTAAACTGAAAGAAAGATCACTCACCTCTTGCACCAACCTCTGGAATGTTTCTGTAAGATTATGTTCCCTCCATCTGGTTAAATCAATAATATTCACTCCGGACATCCAAGCACAAGAATTTTCAGAGAAACTGTTCCTAGGCAAATATTTTTTCAGCTGCCCCAACTTCACGGTGCAGAACTGCACAGCACCATTCACTTTGCCACCCATGTCAAGACTCCAAAGGTCTGATATGTCCCTTTGAGCGAGTACATCATCGTCCAGAACCACAACTTTCTTCAAAGTTGGAAATATCTTAGGAAGGAGATAATGGGAATGTGAAAATATTGATAAGTACTCCGTTTTAATCTGATAACTAGAGAGTTTATCAACTCTAAGAAAAGAAACACGAAATTCTTCAGGCAATGATAGATGCAATGGAGCCAACTTATAGTGATTATTCAACTTAAGATCTTCAATATTCAAAACCTGAACTGTGGCTTCCCGATATTTGTTTATGCAAAACCAAAATTTCATAGCAAAGTAATTTTCCCTGTCTGTCAGGACATGAAAAACCTGTTTCCCACTTTCCTGAAATATGAAAGAAATCTCATGAATGACAGTGACATGAATTTTGGTACTGCCAAAAGATTTCTCTTTTAAGAGGAAAGAAGAGAGTAAGATAAGTCCGTACTTCTGTATGCTGTACGGTTGAGTTGATTACAACAGATGATGCAAGTAGATTCCTGGAGAATATAACATAGTGGTGCAACTCTGGATTTAAAACTTTCTCAGACAATGACTGCTCCAAATCAAGTGAAGATCTGAAATACTCAACGGTTAACCGCATGGATAGACAATGGAGACTCTTTGGCATGGTTTGAACCGCAAGTTGGTAGAGGAAGGCACTTTGCTTCCTGTGGAAATTAGCTTCATCCTCCGTCAGATCAACTAGTTGTCTTAATTTCTTATCAACATTATTACAGTCCACAGGGCATGACTTTGCTCTGGCTATTGCTGCCTCCATCTTAGTTAGCTTCTTCTCAATCCTGATAACATGGGCAACAGATAGATGCTTAGCCTCCCACACGTTTTAGTATAATATGCAGTTAGCAATTAAAAACTTATCCTAAGATGAAGTGGTTGCAAAATTTCAAGGATTTAAGAGAAACTTTTTTTTGAGAGCATTTTATTGAATAGAGCAAGAAACCATGCTTCCCATGGGTGGGAGAGTGAAAACACGAGGCACAGAAGAAATCTTAAAGAGTTCTCTAGATCTTTCGATAAACTTTTGCAGAGAGAGGGCATATTGGGAGCAAATGACAAAAATCACTGTCAAAACACTGCACAAAATGTGTGGTTTTAAAAGCGATTTTTAAGGGACTGGAGAATTGGTGAACTATGAAAAGTGCCACATGCAACGAAATCATTCCAAAGGGATGCTATTAGATGTTGGAAATTATCAACCTATGGATATTCTTATAAGAGCACAAACTATACAATAGCATATTATACAGGAATGATTTTAGACAAATTCAGAAACAAGTTTTAAATTTCATATACTAGCACCTCCACCAGCCATGATGTTAGTTTGATTCAGAAACACATTCAAATTTCATTTATTAGAGCTGAACCACTATTTTTTTACATTTGATGTGTCAATATTCTAACAGAGCAAAGTGGCAACATTTAATCCTGTATATAACTCAACAGTTGGCCAGAGACTCACTGATCTCGGTCAAATCCAATTGACATGCAATATGTAGCAATGAACCACCCAATAGGCAATAACATCTTGATTTTACAATCTAGCCAAATCAATCAACGGTTCACAAACAGCAAAAACCAAAATATATTGCACATACATTGTTATTAAAAGAAAGAATGTAAGGCAATACGAAGCCAGAAATATAGCAGTCGAACTTGATTGGTCAATTCTTCAAATTACTTAAAGAGTGAACTCTTTGCATGTCATTTGTCTAAATAATAGAGAAACGAAACACACAAGTCACACACATTATATGCTAAATTGAAGAGTGAAATTTGAACGTACTGAGGAGGAAGATCTTTATCTGTTGTAGCTTCACTAAGGACACGCTCAAAATCCTGAATATTTTGCTTCAATTCATGCGACAACTTGTCAAATGCAGGAAGTTTTGCAATGCTTGGATAATAAGCACGAGCAACATAAAGTAAGTCCTTCATCCTCTTCACTACAGCATCTTTCATTTTTTCCTTATGATCTCGACGCCATAAACAGTAACTTCCATATTTTAATTCACACAGCTTTTCACTTTCATCAGCACCTCTAAAATCCTTACCAGCATCATCTGTAACAGCAACTCCACTATTCTGCAGCACAATTTAGAGTTAATCACGCTTGCCAATCCAATGGCAACAATTGGACAGCTTAGACAGTGTAGGTCAAAATTTGGGCAAAACTTTGACGAGTACATACATTTCTTCTCTGCCGTAGTTTTGGCGAATCAGCAGGTATTGGGAGGCCTGTTAACATTTTAAAGAAAAGAAATTTGATGAAAGAAACCATACAAGTCCTGAACTTTATAGAGAGTACTATAATACAAAGCTGTGTGTGCATGTATGTGTGAGAGAGAGAGTCTTTCAGTTAATTGAGTATGAGTACCCCACCATCAGTTTCATTTTCAGCTTCTGTGACGGAATTTTTCCCCAAATTCTGCCAAAATATACAAGAAAATTATATGCAACCGTAGGTAATTTTACAATTAAACGATGCCAAACCCATGTAGAAATTATCTATGTGATAAAAGTAATGCTTAGACAACATGTATAGATGAGTTCAACATTCGGTGAAAGCACTTAAAGCCTCTAAATCAATGGATACAATTTATTTTTACTTTTCCCCATAAAGAAGTATTTTTAAGATGCCAAAAGAGCACAATCCATATTTGCATGGATATACGGAAGAACCGTTGTACACCACCAAAAATCAAAAAGAAATAAAAAACCAAGGGAAAGCTTTACCCAACAATTTCATACATAAACACCCAAGCTATGTGGGAAAAAGAACATATTATTGATGGAAACAAATGGGCTACAGAGTATAGACACCTCTTAACAACGATGATCTTCTCATATTCATGCGAAATAGACTACAGATATGGGGGCCACAGTTTATACTCCATACTATAGTTACACTATCTCCGTTTGATCTGATGTCATTAGCAGTCTTAAATTGTCCATAGGCAAATAGTCAAATTACCGCTAAAGAGAAATGTTAACATTATGTATGCAATAGCCACAACAAGGTATAAATTAAGGAAGATGAGAAATCCTCTTGATTCTGCATTTTTTTAATCTTCTACATCTACTCTAGTATTGTCCTGATATCTACCACTAAATTTACAGATGACCTTTAGAAAAAGAAATTAAAAAATACGTCACTCATTTGCAACTCCAAAACCACTGCTGCATCATCACCTTAACAAAAACCAGGAAACCCCCAACTAAGAAAATGAAAGCCACAATCACTGCCAGCCAACCTAACAGCACAACTCCAGAAAAATAAATCATTGAATAGCAAAGGAGGGTATGGGTGATCCCTGATATTATAATGAAATTGGAGCTAAAAGAAGATATGGTGTTTGGGGGGATGGCATCATGGATTAAAAAATCGGTGATTATGGGTGTCTGAGGTATTTATGGCAGCATTAGATATTCTTTTCTCTTATCTATTGATTTTCTTCTTTTCTTTTTCGGCTTCACCTTGGAGGACACCTATGGTAATTTGGAGTGATGGTGGTGGTAGCGCAACCATAAAAGTGGATTGGATGAAAGATACAGACAGAAATTTAAATCATACTCAGTTATGCATAATTTGACTCATGAGAAAACTGAAAGTAATAAAAGTCTTTCCTTCACCTAAATAATTATGCTTAGTCAAATTACATTCATTTCGAAACGAAAGGACAACTGGAAAATAGAGGTAAAAGAAAATTCAATAAAAAATAAATAATAAGGCCTCACCTGATGGTTACTTATCCTCAGGAGAGTAAAAAGAAGGAACAACAGATGGTTGCCTCATAAAAAGCATTACACAGACTATAGTTGAGCACGTATGTTTTTCAAGCACTATTTTTTTAATGCTCAAAGTAATGAATGCTTAGAAATAAGTAAAGTTATAAACTGAATCAAAAAGCTTAGCACATATGACATCACAAATACCGTTATTTGCCAACCAAAAATGAGAATAAAATCAAAATTTAAAAATAAGCCTAGGCAAGAGTATGTAATAGCCCAAGTTGTCAGCTAAGCATGTATACGGTAACTCTAATGAAGTCACAATTTCCACATTTGAGAGAAACAGTTCAGAAAACAATAGAAGAGTATCATAAAAAACAAGATCCTCTCTCATCTTCTGTAGTACCATATTTCCCTGGTACTTGATTCCTTTTCTTCAGCTGATATTGTGAGATAAATGAGTTAACAATGGAGCATTCATAGGCATTCAAAGTGGACCTCAATATATAATCGCCCAAGGCGTGCCTTAAAAAAAATCCTTCCCATATCACCACAAAGAAATTGTGGTTTTCCTTGCTTCACGGCAAACCTTAGATTTGTCTCTTCATCCGTTAGCCTGACGCAATCTATCCATTTTTCATCCTTAGGTTATGTATACAAGTCAACTCTATTTTAGCTTGACAAAAGAATATCTTTACTCCAAGAGGGTGCATTTGCATGTGTATTTTCAGCTTAATGTAATTAGTCCATTATGAATAAAACACCCATAAGATGAACAAAGCAGAAATGTGGATGTGAAAACGGATATGCAGCTTTCTTTAATGGTGAAGCTAGAGACAGGAATAAAATTAACTAGTATAGGTAGCAAATGATCAATTGACGGAAGAATGACTTAAATGGTTGGGGATATCTTGCATCTATCAAAGAAAGTTCAATTCTTAAGCCCTTGTTTGAACCTCAGTTTCCAAAACTCATTTTTCTCCAAATTCATTTTCAACCGCACATTCTCCCAATAAAATAATTTTGTACGTAAATCTAAATTTTTTTCTTACTTTTTAACCACACATTGTCCAAAAGAAATACTTTTTACAAATCTATTTTCAAAAACGGGGGCTAAGAATTGTGCAATTCCAGTGAAATGGGATAAAAGAGGTAAAACAAATTGACATGGCTTGAAGTAAATTTGAAGGATTTGATTGCATTGGATCATCTATTAAATGTAGTGATGGGTCGAAGGAAATGGCAAAAGGATTCATATGGCTCACCCCAAATCTGTTGAGAATAAGGTTGAGTTTATTGTTGTCATTAGACTGATATGTTACTCGTGGATACAGACGCCACAATTTTAACATTTTCAAGTTATCTTCTTTTTTCTTTTTTCTTTTTTTTTTCTTTTTTTTATTTTGCATTCTTTCTTTTAATAACAAATTTATAACCTCAAAATATATGCCCTTCTGTATCATACGGATATGAATGGTTTGATTCAGCTTTACAAGGAAATTTGATCTCCATTTAGGTTCCCGATAAAACAGAAGCAGTTGGTGACAATGGTGCTTCCACAAGAGACAACTATCAATCAGACATTGACTAGTAACTAGTCCAGAAATGCTATTAGTTTGGCAACAAAAGTACTCATCGATGCAAGAAAGTTGAGCATTAACAAGCAAAGCATATGCAATGAACCTTCGGCAGAGGTGGAACCAATCTTTTTATAAGGTCATCCACGTGTGCTGATTGCTGTCTCTGCAGACGAAGACCAAAATGTAAATGAAAGGAATAAGATTTATCAAAAGCAACCTTGCCTGTGCCAAAGCAAATATGAATGAATTATTAGAAACTGTTACACTCTATATGCATGTGTGTGTATATAGTGCAAGTGTATCTGCATGTATACATCCCTTGCCACTCCAAATTCAAATGATTGAAAGATCTAAATTCTTCCATTCACGAAATCCTAGTTTCCGCACCTTCGATTCATTTCTGGTGTCAGCACTGCTGTGTTGATCATAAACTCTTAAATGTTTCTGATTTCATCAAGAAGCGTCCAAAAGAAAAGAAAAAGAATCAATATAACATAATTAAAAGAGCCCTCTCTAATATCATTTAGTTAAATGCTGAAAATGCTTACTGTGGCTGAACTAGGTTGCTCAGTAGCATATCCTGAAAAAATTGAGGCAAAAAGTCATTGCATATATTCCCTGTTGTGATGATGAATTGGAAAACACAGGCAAATGCACTATCCCAGTTTGGGCACTCTCGCACATATACACAAGCAATGGTTTTTAAGGGTATGGGAACATATTATAAATCCGCTTGATGTCCACTATTCATATTGTGAATAATCAACTACAGACGAAATAACTTTGAAGATCTGGATTGAAATGCTTAATAGCAACATCTCCGTATCTTATCGAATCTTAACTAGAAAACAGAAATACGCCAGCAAATTACTGATGTGTAGATTTCACAAAAGAAATCCTAAGTGGAATGGCATCAAAATACTTCATTATAGTCTAAATATTAGCATCCATGTCAATCTGGCAAGTGACAAGAAAAAACAAGCGAATTGGACAAAACAAAGAGTCCTTGCCCAATTGGGAACTACTACAGCAGAGCAATGCAGACAAGTAGATTTACAGTTTCAATTAGAGATCTAATCTAAAACACGTAGAGGCAGTTATCAAAATCTAAAAAACGAATTAAGCAACGAATCGAAAAATGCATTACCAGCCGAAGAGAGAAAACCATTATGAAGCCCGAGCAAGAAAACTAGCGAAACCAGCATGGAAAGAAAAACGAGACCCAGAACAGCCGTAACAAGACCTTTCCAGCGTCTCTTCGTTGCAAGGGAGTACGATGAACCCCCGTACCCGCCCTTCATTTTCCAACTTTCCTTTTTACTCTTCCAGCTCCTTTACCAATTTCGATTTTCCCTTAACCGACAGCAATCTTATTCAATTATCAACAATTTCCATTTTCTGAAAGCAATTCGCCTGTAAATCAATCGCATTGTAATTTATGATATATATCCTATTAAGATTCACTATGTAATTTATGATATATATAATATATATCCTGCTCAGATTCACTATTCTCTGCAGATATGTAAAAATTGTGTGTTTTTTCACAATTGGATTCCTGTAGATTGATCCCGCAAATCGCACCCCGTCCCAAATCTCACGCGCGTATTCAAGCAAAATTAGAAGGGATTTTATTTGCACAAGCACACACTTCAATTTTGTGATTCATTTTATATTTCCTGTTCCTGCAACTGACATGTGTAGCGACCTGATTGCCAGTCTTACCAAAATTGATAGTACAGGAAAATTAAATACAAAAAATAAATTTTAAATAAAACTCTAGTCGTATCATAATATTTTAAAATTTTATTCTTTAAAAATAAATTTTCCTTTTCTTTTCTATTTCTTCCAGTGTCAGGTTTGGTTTAACAATATTGGCAAAAATTGAAATTAAAATAAATAATTAATTTTAACCATATATTTTATGAAATTCATAACTTTTATCAACTTTTTAACCACACAATTAACCAACCTTGATCGAGTTCACTAAAAATTTGATTTATACAGATACATGGGCTAAAATATAAATAGTTTTGTCTCGTGTCCATGTTATTTTCAAAGTTTATACTAAAAAGGTATTGAAGAAAAATATTATTGTGTTGAATTAATTTTAGGGAGATCTTGTGATTAATTTGTAACGACTTTATCTATGTATAGATCCAATACCGTTAACTCCAATTTATAATTTAGCCCATCTTTTAGCCACATTCTAGAAAAAAATACATTACTCATGCAAATCAATGAGAAATGTGTGGTTAAAAAATAAGGAAAAGTTTTAGATTTACATGTAATATTATTTTATTGAAAAATGTGTAATTGAAATGATGTCAAATCACTGCTGAAAAATATATTTTTTTGAAAATAATGTGGCTCAAACAAGCCGACATCGCTTCAAATGCCTTGACTTTGTGTTGCATGGTTTTTTTTATTCTTGTCGAATAGTACTTACTCTTCCCACTAATTCTAATGTTACTTGATTAGGGTAACAAATGTCATTCCCAAAGCCGGTCTTGATAATTATGAGGCCCTAGGCAACTCATTATTATGAGGCCATAATATAAAAATTTTTTTTGTTCCTTCTGCATAGAGCAATATTGAAAATTTAAATAACATAACATATTATGTAACCAAATTTTCAGAGAAAGTTGTCACATATAACATGCCAACCAATGCCCTTTCATGCAAAATATACTAAAAACACTATAAATTTATCTGTCTCATTGTAACATAATGACGTTGTATAGCGAAATAAATTGTTGCTTAGTTCTTTCGTTTTGAATCATCTATACTAGTCTGATCATTCTTCTTTCCATTTCCATTTGTTATTTTAGTGTAAATCTCTAAAGTCAAGACTTAAGACTAAATTTAAAATTCGTTACCTCGTAAAAATGGCTACAAACTTCCAATCTTCATGTATGCACGGTCCATGCTTTTGTTCTTTTTTCTCAGTTTTAATTAATTTGAAATCTAAATTCCGATCAATACACTTGGTTACAAATGGTATGATTAGTGAGAATGTAGTTCACAAGGCATCATTCTTGGGCATTTTCAGAACTATTTTTACAAAATAATTAATAATGCATCAGAAATTCTTTGCCTATTTCAACACAACTTTTTGTAGGAAATTTTTTTTACAGACTTGTAGATTGTTTTTGATGCCCTAAAAAGTTGAGGCCCTAGGCCATTGCCTAGTTGGCCTTGGTCTAGGGCTGGCCCCGGTCATTCCACACGTGTCAAGCACGACTTAACACAATGTTGACACGACTTAACACAATGTCAACCTACTATTAACTAATTAATATGGTGTTGACCGTTTATTTCATTAATGATTTTGCATTTATGGTGAGTAGTGCTTGATAAAATATCAAATATCATCGACATAATTTCAAATAATACGTATTGTGGTGACAAACGACACTCAGTAAGTGTCAAACACGGCTTAATGGAACGTTAACTTCCATTTAATATAACATCTAGCATTAATTCGACATTATGTTAAAAAGAAAAAAAAACAACTGTATTATTAATCACAAGTTCTCAAAATTTTATTTTAATAGTTTAATTTGAGTATATTTATTTATTTTTAATATTTCACTCTATCACGTAGGAGATGGTGCGTTTCGATTCTATCCGATCCCGAAGAGATTTGAACCGAATTGAGTTCGGATCAAATCGAATACCAATGAAAATCTTAGAAATGGAATTATTAGTTCCATATCTTACTGTAGAACCGAACTAATTGATTATGGTTTGATCCATTCCTTTATATTGAAAATATATAAAAACAAATTATGAAACTATTCGTCAGATTAGAGAAAAATATAGTGTTCAAAATCACTTATCATTCGTGTAATTGTTTCGCGCGGGTTAGTCGCTAACAATTAAAAAGGATCAGACGATTGCGTAAGGGACAAACCTCTTGAGACAAAGTCTCAAAAGGGGGTGTTCTTTTATTGACGATGACTTTACAATTGGAAATTAAAAACAAAGTGCCTCCAAGGGGCACAAGCACACGAGTTACTGAAAAAAGTGTTTAAGTCTAAACTAAGGAAATTAAAGTTACATGTTCTCTGTTCGAGAGTTTTTGATTCGGTCCTTTACTCTATGTCTTTTCTCCCTTTTATACTTCATGGACGATCTCTTTGTGATCAACCGCCTAAAAATTGTTTGATCGTCCTATAACTACCCACTTTCTTCGTAATGGCCAACTTGTCATGAAAACTCCCCTTTTTAACTGCTGCCATTACTCTTTGTCGTTCAACCGTTTTCGATCGAATTCCTTGAATCGTGGAACGTGATAGGGCTACTTTAATAACTGCTTTGATAACTGCACTTCTTGATAACCACAACGCTTTATGTTTGTTAAGACCTTAGGCGACTTGAAAGTTTGGGCGAAAATAGAGTAACAGCTCTGGGCGACTGTATGACACTCCATTCGCTCAGATTCTGGGTGACTTGCAAACTTAGGCGATGGCGTTACCGCATTCTTGGACCTTCATCTTGATTTGTTTGATTGGGTTTCGTTCTTTGGGCTATCTGATTTGGGGATCCTCCAATTGGACTTCACTCTTTGGGCCGTTCGATTTGGGCTGAATTTTTATGTGTCAACAGTAATCTAACCTAATAATATAAAAATCAATTAAATAAGGATATGCGCAGAAATACACTCCAAGGCTCAATCAACTGATAAGGACGGGAAATTATAAATTATTTAAACACAGTATAAACTATAAAATATGGATAAGAATTATTTTTTTAAGAAAAATCATATAACAATATATATTTAAAAAATGCATGTAGTATTTATAACTTGATTATCTTCAAAAATCTTCATGGAGAAGATATTAATTCTGATGATCGACCACTTTGAAAATAACGACAAGTCACAAATTTGAGTTCTTACGAAAGATTGAACTAAAATACACCTTTTCTTATTGGGATTGTATTAAAATTATGATTTTTTTGTAAAATATTTAAGCCCCGTTTGATACTTATTTTTATCAAAATGCATTTTTCTCTCTTCTTTTTAACCACACATTCTTGATTAAAATAATATTAGACATAAATAAAAAAGCTTTTCTTTATTTTTATCAACACATTCTCTATCGATCTACTACTCTAAAATTCATTTTTCAACAAAATGGGTGTCAAACACACACCCTCTTAATAAATTATTTAGTTTTAAATATTGATTATCCATTAGGTTTTTGGGTAAAGGAAAGAAAAAGAAATGTATGAGATGTGAAAGTTTGGCATGAGATTATTTTAGGATCTAGTGTTTGGATATTTGATATATATCTCTGCAATACACCAACAAAAAGAAAAATTAGGAAGAACCGAATTCACTTGATTTTTAAGATAGTACCAACTTCCGGAGCGAAATCGACCTGCTCTTGATGCATGGTCCCAAAACTGATCCATTTAATAAAGGTTCGAAACCAAACCAATCAATTTCATCTGATTTCCAAAAAAATAACAGTAATAAAATAAAAATTCTACCCCTACTATCATGCCTTTCTTATGTACTTAAGTCAAACATTTCCCTTCTATATAAAAAAGGGGAATGTGAGGGCACTGTAGAAAGCAACAGTGTCTTGATCCATTTTTACTGTATCATTTTTTTTTTACAATTTGGGGGCCAAAAACGACGCCGTTTGCTTGATATATATTTTATTTTATTGTACACTACCTCCAAATTTACTGCAACACGCAATTTCCATTCCTCCCCACTCAAATATAGATATATATAGTAGGGATATAAGAAAAATATCACTTTTATATTAAAAAAAAAAAGATAGAGATAATATGCTACAGAAATTTTGTTTACAACATATTACTTGTAAGTAAAAAATTTGAGGAGAAAAGAATTAAAAAAAATTATAAATTGAAAAAAAAATTATAACTAAAACTATACAGAAAAAAAATGTAATCTCTCCGTGCACGGAGGGGAAAAGAGAAAAAAAAAATATTGTTGGAGCCTCCGTGCACGGAGGCAGGTGTCTCCATACATGGAGACAAAATTTAGAGAAATAATTTATTTTTTTTTACTTATGTTTTTGTGTTCATTTTCAAACTCATTACGGGATATCAAACGAAGTCGAAATATTACATTCTTAATATCGTTTTGAAGTACTTGCGGCATAGTATTGCACGTCGTTGACGGTGCGTGAAACAGTCAATCATAGCAGATGTTATGGGACGTCAAAGCAGGCATTTTCAAACTATATTTCGAAATTTTTGATAACAAGCTAACTTTAAAAATTTATCAAAAATTGTACGATAGTCGAATCGATAAATGTTTTACATTCTCTCGAAACTCATTTTGAGAACTATATCGTAGAGATATCGAATGATCTAAATAGATATCGAAAATAGAACGGAGATTAAACGTATGTATTAAAAAATACGCATAAGTCATTTTTTCTTTAAAAAATCAATTATTTTATTACTATTTCGAAATTTTCGATAACAAGCTAACTTTAAAAATTCGTAGACGATTGTACGATAGTCGAATCGATAAATATTTTACATTCTCTCAAAACTCATTTTGAGAATTATATCGTAGAGAGATCGAATGATCTAAATAAATATCGAAAATAGTTAAACGGAGATTAAACGTATGTGTTAATAAA